CAATGATATCAGCCGTGCATTCAATGAAACCATTGTTTGGTTGCATTCCTTCGCAACTCTTGTCTCTCTTTAATTCATCGCATTTCCTGAAGAAACAAATCGTTAAGTTTGCTAACAGTGTCTGAATGGACTCATTCAGTATTTATTACTTTTTAATTATAAGCTATTAATTATTACTCGATTACTAATCAATATTTTGTTTTACCGTAAAATAAATTACAAATAGATAATTAAACTGAATGTGATTTTTAGCGGTATAATCAAATCATGTAATACTGTACAGTATTTCAATAGAGAACATTACAGTATAGGTAAGTACCGGTATTTCAATCTATGCTCAAAGAATTGTTGATAAAATGTTAAATATTTATAATATATCGATAAAATAAAAACAAATGATTGAAAAAAAATTTGATCCGGATTAAAAAAATGAAAAAAAGTAAAAATAAAATGCAAAAAAATAAGCGCAGTCGGCAGGATTCGAACCTGCGCGGGGAGACCCCAATGGATTTCGAGTCCATCGCCATAACCACTCGGCCACGACTGCTGACACACCTATAGGCACACATTACACCCATAGTCATCATATCATTAACTCTTAACACAATTCTCACCATTCATGCAGTTATTGATCACTTAATCCGATAAAAAATTCAATTACTTTTAATATTATAAAAAGAGGAACTTTTAATAGATATAATGTACGGACGGATTACATATTCTTAACGCATCGTTATTGTGAGTTATAATCAATTTTAAGTGTAAATAAACAAAACTTTTTTAGTTTTAATAAATGTTTATAAAAAGAGGAACTTTTAATAGATATAATGTACGGACGGATTACATATTCTTAACGCATCGTTATTGTGAGTTATAATCAATTTTAAGTGTAAATAAACAAAACTTTTTTAGTTTTAATAAAAGTATATTTAAAGGGAATTAAATAAAAATAAAATTTCCAAAATAAAGTAATTAATTGATCGCTAAATGAAAGAATAATTTAATCCAAATATAAACTCATGCAATAGAAGTAAATATGAATTTCAGTAATTAAATAAACATTTGGTGACAAAATAGACACAAAATCAGGATTTAGAGCATTGATTGCATTTGAATTGTGATGAGAGGATCACCAGTGGTTCAGAGGGTGACGATGTCGTTGTCGTTAATTGAATCACTTTTACCATTATTAGTGGTACTGTTATTGTTATTATTGATATTATTATTGGTATTATTAGTGTTACTGTTATTAGTATTATTGGACGAATTGGTGGTACTATTGAGCTGAGGAGGAGTGGCAGGAGTGGTGACGCCGTAGTCTTTAATCTCGTCCTCTTCATCGTCGGAGGCACTTAAGGCCGAGTTATGGCTCGAGTCCTGAGACAACTGAGAGGAACGACAGTATGAGCCGCGCATTGCTGCGATGGGAAGGTTGCGCTGATTGGCGGGACGGATGGTGATGATGAGGTTGGAGGAGTTGGCGACCATCATGTCTGTCACCTGATCTAACGACTTGCCCAACACATCGATGCCATTCACTTCGAGCACCTCGTCGTTGACGGCCAGAAGGCCGGTGCTCTCAGCGAGTCCTCCGGGAACGAGACGTGATATGAAAATGCCGGCCACTTTCTCGAGGCCGTGAGGGGTCACCCGTACAGACGTGCCGTCGCGGATGTAAAAGCCGAGCGGTTTGTCTGAGCCGTGTTTCACGAGTCTTACGCGTCGACACGTCTCGGGAACGATGTCCACGTCTATGATCGACGACACCTGACGGAAGTCTTCGGGCAAACCGATCGACAGTTTGTTCTTATTTGGAGACGAAGACGACGGAAGCGGAAGAATATTACTTAAGCCCAAGAAATTCTTCTTCTTATTGGCGGCCAAACCATTCAAGTGCTCCCAACTCTCACCTATCAGTGCAGTCATCGACTCATGAGTTACTCAATACATGTGTCAAGCAATGGATTATAAGATAATACCCTTTCGTTGTATAATAAGTCTGAGAAGAGGTTTGGCCGACAGAATGGCTCTCAAGAAGTTGTCGTCATTATTGATGGGAAGTAAGTCCCCATGAATTGGATCCGAATAGAAGACTGAGAAGGATATGGAGAAGAGTTTGTGGAAGTGTTCAATGAGTTTGAAGAAGTCGTCAAATTTGGATAATTCGCTTCTGTCTGTCATGTCATAAGAAGATCAATACTGTGGTAATCATTATCATAATCATATCATGGCTTACCTAACGAAAAGCGCCGGAACTCAGCGTCAAACTAATGGACACAACAAGACATTAGACATTAAGACACCACTCATTACAGCACTCAATACCAGACATACCTTTGATTTGATTTCAATGAGATTTGGATTATTAAGACTTTTATTGCTATTTCTGGTCGACATTACCCTCGCAGTCAATTGTCCGCAACATATGATTCACACAAATATTAATCCAATTATCGGTTATTATTGAAAATAGATTTCATTTGAATTCATTTGAAAAGCATTTTTACAAACAATTGACTAAATAATCAATAAAATCAACACTTGTTATGATTGGTATAGAAATATATTTCATAATTAGTGGTCACAAATGGATAATTTGTGTAAATAGTAATGAATCACAGGTTTATGAATATAACAAATATAATGATTAATATTAATTCAATTCAATGTGAAATGAATGAGTGATTCATTGCTTACTATAAAAATATTTTTAATTATTATTTAGTCTAAAGTTAAGGCCATAACAGGTATGACTTCACACCTTAAATGCACGTTTTTGTTACCATTTGGTATTCACTTCAACCAAAACTTTCAACATATATTTTACAATAAATGTACTCTACTCTATGCATGCAATCAATTTATGCAATACTTTTAACTAATTTTTAATAACTTATTGTTTGTTGCTTTTGTTTTATCAAGGTATTTTTTGATAACCAATCAATTTACCAACTTAATTCATTGAGTGTCTAATAACTTTTTATTATAGTTATTGAGTTATTATTTATAAAATTAAACTTTTAATTCAATTGCAAATTAAAAGTGTTTATTTGGTAGACATTAATCAAACCGTCAATACATTAGTGACACNATAACCAATCAATTTACCAACTTAATTCATTGAGTGTCTAATAACTTTTTATTATAGTTATTGAGTTATTATTTATAAAATTAAACTTTTAATTCAATTGCAAATTAAAAGTGTTTATTTGGTAGACATTAATCAAACCGTCAATACATTAGTGACACAAATGACTAAAACATACAAAACCTGTGAATAGCTATGACTTCGCATAGCCTTCCTATGTATGACCGAGTGTTGAATGTGTGTTGAGTTGTGTGACTGCCATCTGTTGAGGTGTTTGTGTGGAGTCTAAGCAGTAATACCGGTAAACATAGGATTGCATTGACTGTGAGTTGCGGTGATTACTGAAGACATTTGGCCGCACAATGGGTTTGTTAACATCCGACGGATCAACTAAGACAAGCGTGTTGTCCAAAGTGGTGATCACTCACTGGTCGAAGTTGTCGGTGGTGTCCTACTTGAGTGCACTGGTGGTCAGTGTGTTGTTGTTGAACCAATCGGACAGAACCTACTTCAGTGACAACGCCCTTCTTCCGGGTCTCGTGCAGAGGGAGTTCACACTGA